TTGAAAGAACACTCTACATCAGAAACATTTATCCTCGTCGATTCTTCCTTTCTCCTAAGAGATTTTTACTATGGCTTTTCCTCAGAATGACCGCGAGAAGAAACTTAGGGTCTTTTATCTGTCTAGGTCAAGAATGATTATGGACGAGGTAACCTGGCTGCATGACGAGTACGATATTTCTCGTGCGATGACCATAGGGGCACCAGACAGTCTTACTCTGGTGCATATGCATGGCGAGGATCGGGTGCCTCTCTATTTGGTGCATCTACAATATGGATTGCGCCTGCCACTGCATCCCTTCGTCAGGGAGGGTTTTGCGGATTTGGTGCATCTACAATATGGATTGCGCCTGCCACTGCATCCCTTCGTCAGGGAGGTTTTTGCGGCTTTGGGGGTTTCCCCCTTGCCAATTCCATCTGTACGCCATTTTGTACCTTGATGACACTTATAAATGCTTGCTTTGAGACGGGAGTGGTGCCCAACATCAGTTTGCTTGGGCACGTGATTAGTGTGGGGTATGCTGATGGAGACCTGCACTATCTTTTCCATTATCGGGGTGATTTCAGTTTGGACGCTGATTTCCCAGAGCTGAATGAAGAATGGAAGAAGTTCTTCGTCTGGATGTTCGGCACTGACAACATACTATCCTGCTTAGGTTAGCCCGAAGTGCAGGAGAATGTATTGGAGCCAAGGGTTCTTAGTAATCTCAAGGTCGGAGATATTGAGAAGCTCCGGTATTGCCTCAGTCTTCAGGAGTGCAGAGCTCTAGATGGAGAGGAATTCCCAGAGATGAGAGAGTCCTCCTCGTCTTTCTCCGACTCCGAAGCGACAATCCTTACTCCACCAATGGAGGTCTGTAAAAGAGGGGATGACTCGGAGGAGCCGAGTTCTTCCAGGAGGCCTTTGAAGAAAATGAGGAAGGACTCTAGGGGCGGTGGTTCTGAGCCTTAGGAGGGAGTTTTTAAGTGTTGTTTTTTTGTAAACCCTGTTGGATCTTCTGGTAAAAAATGTATGAAACTCTTTTTTAAATGAGAAATGATTTCTCCTATCTTTTGCTTTTAAGAGCTGCAAATACTTGATGAAATAGTTGATCATGTTGTGACTCCGCTTTCTTTTCAAGAATAACGTTGATCCTTGTAGATTAGATAACACAAGCGGGATAAGTGTCGACGTCTTCGTTCCCCCTATTTGGTCGAGGAGTAATTATTGAGGTTGTCCTTGGGGCTATGCCTTAGGCTTATCCTGATGAGGAGCCAAGGACTTTGTGCCGACTGTGGAGTCGTTGTGCCTTAGGCTTACCCAGATTAGGATCCAATGGCTTTATGCCGACTAAGAACTCGGTGTGTCTTAGGCTTATCCTGATGAGGAGCCACGATCTTGATACCGACTAATAAGTCATTGTGCCTTAGTTTTACTCTGATGAGGAGCCAAGGTCTTTGTGACCGACTGAGAAGTGGTTGTGTTTGGGTTTTGCCCCGAGAAGGTACCAAGGGCTTTATGCCGACTAAGAAGTCGTTGTGCCTTAGGCTTACCCAGATTAGGAGCCAAGGGCTTTATGTCGACTAAGAAGTCATTGTGTCTTGGTTTTACCCTGAGAATGTACCAAGGTCTTAACTATAATGGTCGATGAGAGCAGACGAAATCGAACCATATGTTGTGCCTTGGGCTTACCTTTAAGAAGGGCCAAGGGTTTTGTACCGACTGAGGAGTCGTTGTACCTTAGTTTTACCCTGAGAAGGTACCAAGGTCTTGACCATGATGGTCGATGAGAGTAGACAAAATCGAACCATATGTTGTGCCTTGGGCTTACCTTTAAGAAGGACCAAGGGATTTATACCGACTGAGAAGTCGTTGTGCCTTGCTTTTACCCTGAGAATGTACCAAGGTCTTGACCATGATGGTCGATGAGAGCATACGGAATCGAACCATATGTTATGCCTTGAGCTTACCTTTAAGAAGGGCTAAGGGCTTTGTGATGACTAAGAAGTCGTTGTGCCTTGGTTTTACCCTGAGAAGGTACCAAGGGCTTTATGCCGACTAAGAAATCATTGTGTCTTGGTTTTACCCTGAGAAGGTACCAAGGGCTTTATATCCGACTGAAAAGTCATTGTGCTTTAGTTTTACTCTGAGAAGGTACCGATGTATTTATATCCGACTGAGAAGTCGTTGTGCCTTGGTTTTACCCTGAGAAGGTACCAAGGTCTTTATGCCGACTAAGAAGTCGTTGCCTAGACGATTAGGTCTTCGATGTCTTTCTTTTCTTTTGACACTTTCATTGATTACTAGAATTTATACATAATGGAGTACAATTTTTCAATATTGATTGTTTAAACGGTGTTAAACTCTTGTTTTTAGCTCATGTATTTTGGATGTAGTTTTTTCCAGGGAACAAGATCGCCAAAAGGGAGCCTCTTTGGCCCTCTTGCTGTCTTCGAACCTATCTTAATGAGTGTGAGCCGTAGCTTTTTATTAGCCATCTTTGTTGCCGTGTGACTAAGGATGTCGAGTCGCCAGTCATTTGAATATCCGGAGTCGTATGTTACTCTATTTCTTAAGGGCGAGCTATTTGGATTTAGATGTTGTTGAGCTGTCGACATATTTGCCATCTCATCAGCCAAGGACCTTTCTGAACTTTGAGTTTTTGCTGAGGTCCTTGCTGGTCGACGATGGACACGGGGATTTTCAACAGATCTTGCTTGTCCACCGTTGGTTGCGCTGTATGACTATAGTTCTACTGATTGAGCTTTTGGAAGATGATACTCAATAGGGAGAGGCCCATGCAACTTTTGTGATGGGGAACTTCTTGTTGATGAAACCCCACATGTTGATGCTTTGTTTCCTGGAATTTGATCGGATTATTGTTTCCCCTTGGGGATTCCAGGAGTAGCAACGACCGGACCATCCTGTGAATGGAGGAGCCTTCTTTTTGTAAGGAGAATGCGAGTCGCATGTTTCGACCACCAGTTCTTCCTTTGATTTTGGTGGTTCGAATAGCTGTTGGGGGCTAGAGCCAGATTTCCTGAAGAGGCAGTCATCGGGTGGCTCCCCGAGTTTTTCCCGCAATCTCATCTTTGGTGAGGAAAGACTATCCTTTGAAGGTGGTGATGGTCTGAGGAGCCGGTCAGAGACTTAATCGTGGCTCCTTGCTCGTGTGAGCTGTTGCTGATGGGAGCTTGAGCGATACTAGATCTGATCATAACCCTAGGGATTCTGTTTGTGATCCAACCCCGAACCTCGTGGCTGTCCAGGGGATGGGGTTTTT